CCTCAGTCGTGGTATTGAAGATGAGAGCGCTGTACATTCCCCCCCCCCCCCTACAACCCCTGCCGATACGAGACTCGAACCCGCAACCTTTGAGTTACGAGTTCGACTCTCTAACCATTAGGCCATGACTTCCCCCTGACTACAATGCCGGCAGTTCTGACTCACAGACTGTAAGTACGTTTTCATTTAAAGAATTTGCCACTGATGCTTCAAACGCAAGTTTTGGGCAGTGTAGAGTAGCATTTGTTGTTTTGTCATTTCTCCAATCACAAATGCAGACAGGGTTTTATGTTTACGCGGCGCGATGCAACGAAACGCGTAAAAAGACAGTATAAGTCATTATAATCAGTAATTATGTCCCCACTGGATGCAACAAATGCCTCGTTTGTAATGGGTTTTAATGTTGTTGTCTCGTCGCTCCGGCCGGTGTTGTGCCGAATTCTGCACCCCTGCCAGATTATGCACCCCCTCGTTGAAGTCACTATCTAATTGTCTAATCCCAACCCCACCCCTAATCCTAACCCCTCCCCCACACCTAATCCTAAACCTACCAATACTAGGGGGTGCATAATTTGGCAGGGTGCAAATTTCGGCACTACACCGGGACACGGCATCAACAGTATGGTGAGGGGCGTAACATTTCCGTCTCACACTTGAGGTATTCGGCCAATCACAACGCACTGGATAGCTGGCCAATCACAGCACACCTCGCTTTTTCAGACCGATGAGCTTTGTAAAAATCGACGCGTTTCAAAAAGGCGGGGCATAGAGGAGAAACAATAATGTACAGTATGTGGAAAATAATGTGTTTTTTTAACTTTAAACCACACAAACACATTTCACTACACCAAATACACAAAATAATGTTCTTTTTAGCAGCATCATATGACCCCTTTAAAAATATATCTAAATTACCACCTATGCTCTCAATGTCAAGGTTAGATTATTGTAATGCTTTATTTGGTGGTTGCTCTGCATGCTTCATAAACAAACTCCAGCTGGTCCAAAATCCAGCAGCTAGAGTTCTTACTAGAACCAAGAAGTACGACCATATTAGCCCGGTTCTGGTAACTCTGCACTGGCTTCCTATTGAACAACGAATACATTTTTAAATCTTGCTAATTACTTACAAAGCCCTGAATGGTTTAGCTCCTCAGTACTTGAGCAAGCTCATATCGCATTATAGTCCTTCACGTCCGCTGCGATCTCAAAACTCTGGCCATTTGATAATACCTAGAATGTCAAAATCAACTGTGGGCGGCAGATCCTTTTCCTATTTAGCGCCCAAACTCTGGAACAATCTACCTAGCGTTGTTCGGGAGGCAAACACACTCTGTCAGTTTAAATCTAGATTAAAGACCCATCTCTTTAACCTGGCATACACATAACACACTATCATATTTCTATAATACAAATGCATTAAAGGATTGTTAGGCTGCATTAATTAGGTCAACCAGAACCGGGAATAATTCCCATAACACCAGATCTGCATAGTAAGAAGAATGGCATCTATGCTAATATTAGTCTATTACATTCTTATTCCGAAGTCACTGTAGCCACCCAGATCCAGTCTGTATCCAGTCCAGACCTAGAGACAACCTCTACAGCCCTGAATATCAGCGGAGACCATGTCAACTAGATGCGTCCCAGAGACATATCCCCTGCAAAGACGTCGTCACCTTGATGACCATCAGCACAAGACCACAGGAACCAGACAAGTCCTCTGCACCTGTATCGCAGGCTGGAATTAAACCACACCATGATGGTTTTGTCTGGCCAGAGGACAACTGGCTCCCCAACTGAACCTGGTTTCTCCCAAGGTTTTTTCTCCATTTCTGTCACCGATGGGAGTTTTGGTTTCTTGCCACTGTCGCCTTTGGCTTGCTTAGTTGGGGACGCTTGACTGATTGCACAGACACTATTGGAAGAGAGCTGAACTGGACGATGACATCACTGAATCATTAATGAACTGACTTTAACTGAAAAACTGACTGTATGTTATTGTCTTCTTGCATTATTGACTAACTATTTTTCTGTTTGACACTGTAAAGCTGCTTTGACACAACCAGTATTGTATAAAGCGCTATACAAATAAAGGTGACTTGACTTTAATTCCCTCCCGTTTGGTCATTATTACAGAGCGCTCTGCTGGACGCCCCCCGAGCAAACGCATCACACATTCTGTGATTCTCTGTAAGCCCTGAGTGGCCAAAGCACAGGATAATGGGCTTGTTAGAATAGATCTCCAGTTAAAGAGATCAGCGACGTCTTTTTAACGTCTCAGTGATGGAGCCGAGCATTCTTCTGTCAGAGCGCCATGGCTGTTCTGCTCGACTTTCAACTAAATTTGGATCACTATGACACACCAAACCAGCTCATTCGCTTCTGCCAAGGCCTAAAACATCCTGCAAGGTGCCAACTGTGGTGCTTCTGAGCAGATCTGTCTTATGGATGAGTGTCTAATGATGTTCATGCAGACGTTTGATTCTGGTTTGAGCACATGAGCCAGCAGGAGCGCAGAGTGATAGTTCACATCATTGCAGCAGACAAGCTCATGCAGAGCTGCCATAAAATGACCTGGACCATCATTAAATGGCCCTCTATGAGCACTAGACTCCAACATTATAGAAACAGCACAAAATTACAATGAAGATAATTTGAAGATCATCAAAAGAATAATCTTTTAAAAATAAATAAAATCATATATTATGTAAGCATTAATGTTATTAGTGTCAACTAAAACTAGGGCTGCACGATAAATCGAAATGGAATCGAGATCGCGATTCGACAGAAGCTGTGATTGTCATGCGTATCTTTCAGTGAAGCACGGTTCTGTGATCAGCAGTAAATCTCAATCCGAAGGCCAGAGAAACTCCAAACATGCCTCGCAGAAGAAACCCAGAAAATGCCTATCGCTGCAGCTGAAAAAACAGAAGATTCAACTGCTTTCATTGATTCAACGTGACTAATAAACACATGACTACAGCAATATACCGTTTATCGGAGTTCTTATTATTAGAATTTTCATTAAAATAAAGTATATTTATAATGCAATGCCTTTATCACTGCTTAAATACTATGAAATATGTTGCGTGCCTTATTCCGTGTAAGAAGCCACATCATCTCACAGAAGGATTTATTTCAAACACTTGACTGACGTTATGAAGTGAGTTTGGAGTAAAAATATGTTATTAAATGTGGTATTTTCACATGCTTTCAGATGGAGCAGCATTTACTTCACAGAGCCGTAGTTCACTGAGAAGCTATGCAAACAGCTGTCATTATCGCGAACAATTTCTTCGATTTCATAATCGCACAATAAAATCGTCTGCGATTTTTTTGCGTAACTTGTCAGTGAACTACGGCTATGTGTAGTAAATGCTGCTCCATCTGAAAGCACGTGATGATGATTTCCTGCTGATTACAGAACCGGCTTTATTAACAAAATGCGCATGACAATCGCATTCGATTAATCGTGCAGCCCTAACTAAAACTAAACTATTGTTAATTAAAAGATTAAAAAGGAGCCAAAAAGAAACTAACCCAGTTCTAGACAGTCAGATTTAATTAATCTCGTCTAAGCCTGACTTCTGGCTTTCGGTGCATTAGACAGGAGAAAAGTGTCTGAATAACACACACAACAACCTATCACCATTCACTATGATCTACACATCTAGGTTCGGACCTCCAAAAAAGGCACTGTAATCAACTTGACGTGTTTGTATGTGCCATTAAGGCATGTAAATGTAATGCATGTAAAGTGTTTACAGCAAGGATCTCCAACCCTGCTCCTGGAGAGCTACCATCCTGCAAACTTCAATTCCAACCCTGCTGCAACACACCTGCCTGTAATTATCAAGTAACCTGAACACCTTGATTAGCTGCTTCAGGTGTGTTTGACTGGGGTTGGAGCTGAAATCTGCAGGATGGTGGCTCTCCAGGCTTACAGCATATAAAAGTGCAGCCATCTACATGAAACGTTCTTTAGTTGGTCCAAACAAAAACCTTAAAATAATAATAGAAATTAATAATAAAAACACTAGGTCCAAAGTTTGGTGTGGGTAAGATTTTTTTGTTTTTGAATAAGTCTTAAGTCTTATGTTTAACCAAGGCTGCATTTATTTGATCAAAAATAGCATCAGCATCATTACTCCAGTCTTCACATGATCTTCAGAAATCATTCTAAGATGCTGATTTGCTGCTCAAGAAACATTTCTGATTGTTATCAATGTTGAAAACAGTTGTGCTGCCGAATAGTTTAGTGGCAACCGTGATACATTTTTCCAGGATGAATAAAAAGTTAAAAAGAACAGCATTTATTTGAAATAAGAATCTTTTGCAACATTCTAAACTTCATTATTGTCACCTTTGATCAATTTAATACTTCCTTGTTGAATAAAAGTATTCATTTCTTTGAAAAAAGTCTTACTGACCTCAACCTTTGTAAATATCGTAACTAAAAACTTAATCTCCAAATGAAATCATTAGTTAATCTAAGCTGCAAAAACAACTTAAAAGGTTAAATGAGACTTGACAACACAACCATGATCTCATTAACATATGACCTCTCACATTTAAATACCATCTATTCAGTAATCAACAAATTCATGCACTTCATTTGCATGTAGAAAAGTACAAGAGCAAAAGTAGTGTTTAATTAGAAGAGTTAGAGAGAAGGTGGAAAAAAGTCAGAAATAGAAAACTATAGTATAATAGTACATTTTACTTCAGAAAAATACTTCAGGGCCTTGGGAAATAAATCACTACAATATGGCTATAAAAATATTTAGAAAAAAGTTATCATTTTAATATCCCTTTTTAAACTATCTTTGTTTTTATAGTGAGATACAACACTGGTTTTGACACATTTCAGAACACAACAATGAAATCAAGCATGTGTAGCTGGTAGCATGTGAACGGCACACTACTTCAGTTCCCTGAGCTTCAGTCGCTGGACTCACCGCGTGCCGTCTGCTTTCCAGCTGACTTTATAAACGTTCTGCTCCAACAGACGAATGTTCCTGCGGTCCATCGATACGGGCTGAGCACCAGGAAACCCCGATCTGACAGACACGTAAAGACAAGCACATTAAAAAAACAACAAATGTGATTATTGGACACATTGCTGTGTCGTTTTAATTGATCTCCACTCATCAATGAAAGTAATTATGGCTGCTGTTTCATCAGGATAATAACTCACGACAGAATTCAGCACTTTCCATTAATAGAGCACAAAACGTTTTCCATTACTTATTAGGCACTTCAGGGCACAAATACCACGTTCTTTGGATCACGTTATATTCAGCATGAAATGAAAAGGCATCTATTTTCTAAAAGCATGTTATTGATTTACAATTCATCCATGCATGAGTTTCTTTAATGTAAAAATATCACTCATCTTCTGGTGAAAAACTAAAAATGTTTTTCCGTCTGATGATCATTTAGTCCACTTCAACCTGCCAGTTTCTTACAAGAAAAGTAAGAAACTGGCTTTCTTTCTCTGCAAGCTCACAGGAGAGAACAAAGTCCCAGACCTATGTTTTTTTTATTTTTTTATTAATTAGTTTTACATTGTATTAATGCATTGAAGGTAGTATACATAAAATCTTTGTCTGTGATTTAAGCTCAATCATTCAACTCTGTTGCCAAAGTAATTGAATATAATCAAACTCATTTATGGGAAATTTGATCAGTAATTACAAAACTTTGTCAATAACATTCAGTCCCAAACTAGCAAGCCCCAACTGAGTCATGATGATTTGATATCTTACTTTAGGCTAAAATATGCAACCCTGTTACCCATTACGTAGTATTTAAATATGATTTATTTTTGTTTATATTTACTTTATTCTTTTTTATCTTCTGAATGTTATTTCATTTAGAGTATATGTTTATTTAATGCTTATTGCTAAAAAAATCTTCAAATTTGGTAACAGGGTTGCAAAATTCAAACCTCATATAAAATACATAAAATAAAACAGCTCATATAATATTTAGTTTGACATCCTGAGGTTGACAAGCACCATTTGCTGAAAGTTAAGCATGATATTTAATTGAGCCATTTTTTATTAAATAAATACAAAAGAAGTTAAGTCTTATTTGTGCCCCACACACATTTACACTCCTCACAATCTAAACATTTTCAATTACTTGACATATCAGTCACATGGGCTCAGAGCTGGAAAGAGTCTGTGGGTGGTAAAACACACACACACACACACACAGAGAGAGACTCACTTGTCCCACTCAGAGAACTCTTGACATTTCCTCTGGATCATGCCGAGCTTGGGCTGTGACGTGACTTGAGTGACTCCTTTGACAGACACTCCCTCCAGAAACATAGCGTTCTGAGACACAAGCAAGCAAACAAACACCCATCACATCTGCACACCAACATTTCAAATGGAGAGGAAGTTGATACCCAGAACACAGTCAGTTATGAGCCTTCTTAATGAGCTGTGCCGTATTAAACCAGACTATGAAAGAATGTGCTGAAACGAGTTTTAATCACCAGTTTTAGTCGTTCTTTCTTCTTCTTGCCCTGACTGGAGTGAGAGGAGCTGGGCTCGGAGCCCTGAGCGATTGCATTCCCATCATCATCATCCACATCTTCATCCTCCTCATCACCGAAGCACCATTCGGGGAGAGCAGGGGCGGGTGGCGCGTCCTCCACATCCCCGTAGCGGCGGAAGAGCTCCTTCAGATAGTCAGCTTTATAGATTCCCGGGGGCCGAGCCTGAGCGAACGCTGCCACAGAGGCCTCGATACTGACACCACAAAACACACAATCACTCACGCTGTGAATTCAGGATACACTGCATTCTTCAGCTGTCAGAAAGACGGATTTGTAAATATATCTCCAACCCTGGGTTTACTGACCAGAATGAGTGCAATATAAAATATGTTTAAAGAAAATGTGTAATAAATTATTAAAATACTGATTTGATGTGTATCTAATTTCTTGATTAATTCAATTTAAAAAAAAAATGAATGAATGAATTAAAATGTAAAGAAATTAAAACTATTATCTTCTTTAATGTTTGACATTTGAAAATATTTGTATTTAAAAATTAACATTTTTCATGCATTTCCAGAAACCATCATTTGAACCCAAAAGCCATTATTAAAAAGTAGATACTTTGTATGAAAAATGTGGTGTTAAATGTAATTGTGGTATGAAGATATTTCCACTAGGTTTTCACTGAAATGTAATATTTATTTATTTTAATAATGAGACTTCTGTGAACTTTTTGAGCAATTATTGTGGATTGTTGACCAAGAGTTTTGAAATTGAAATGAGAATAGATGGAAATTATGGAACTATGTAAATGAATCGGTGGTATTAACATGGCACTTAATGATTAATATTTACATGTATTGCTCTTTTGTTGGTTTTGATTGCTTCTATTGTCCTCATGTGTAAGTCGCTTTGGATAAAAGCATCTGCTAAATGACTAAATGTATTTATTTGTAAAACTATTTTGACTTATTTTATTTTCTAAACCATATTACATATTTCGGTAGTTCATGTGTACTTATTTTATAATTACTTAAAAATGTGTACAATACTTTTATTCAGTAAGCATGCATTAAATTGATCAAGTAACAAATACATGTATAATGTTACAAAATATTTCCAATTTGGTTTTAGAATCCTAAACATTTTTATCATGGTTTTCACAGAAATATGAAGCAGCACTGATAATAATCAGAAATGTTTCTTGAGCAGCAAATCAGCATATTAGAATGATTTCTGAAGATCATGTGACACTGAAAATTCAGCTTTGATCACAGCAATCAATTACCGTTTACTGTATGTTCACATAAAACAAGTTTTAGGTTATTTGAAATTCTAATATATTTCTCAGTATTACTGTTTTTTTATTTTTGATTAAATACATTTTTTGTGGTCAAATTGGTGAGCATAAGAAACTTCTTTGAAACACATCTTTAAAGCTTAAAAAATCTTAACTGTGAATTATACATAATTTAACATAAATAACTAAATTAATTTACATTTTGTACAAATATTCAAAGCCCATTTAAAATATGCATTTTTAAACAGTGATAAATATCACTGAACAAGTTAGTGTAGAATCCTCCGCTTATAATAAAGCTCAAAGTCTACTGAATAAACATTATTAATGCATGAGTAATTATGAGATAAGACAGATGACCTTGCTGCCAGATATCATGTTTATATTCGTGGCATCACCACAAAAGCAAACTGAAGAAATCTGCCTCGGTCGTATAATATGATACGATATGTCCTAGCCAAGTCACCCTAAAAATGACAGATGAATTGCTTTAAGCAACAGCAGTATGTCTTCACTAACAACCACATGGCATCAAAATAAAAACTAAAGTATAGTGAAAGATTTACAATAAAACACATTAAAACCTCTCCTCAATACAACCCAGTCTTTTCTAACATGCTTGGCTGAATGTGATGAAGTATCGATTAGCCAAAGCAGGTGTGGAAGAGGTTGGATTTACAAACTCAAGAGGAACTCCTCTATATGACAAGCTCTTATAGGCTGTTACACAGCTTCAGGACCAAAATATGGACCCAGTGACGACCCAAAACAGTACCATTATTGATTATCATACAAAAGTAAAATAAAAAATGTCCTAAAACTCAAACACTCAAATAATATTTCCATGCATTACATTAATTTGACATAAGGCTAAACAGCAGAACAGATCATATGATCATATGCAAGTCAACCTGTATTTAATGCATTCGGACGGAGTCATGTTTTCTTTAACTTTTGTTCACTTTTGTTTAATGGTTTTGTTCATGATGTTTGAGGATGAAGGCATTTTATCCAACCTATCCATGCTGGCATTGTGTATTTAGCTATATCCTAACTTTGCACTATTGACTGGTTACTTGTATTTTATTATTTGCATTTAGCATATATTCAGTGCTGTTCACAACCCTTCCAGAACAGAGCTGCGATGAGATAAACCCAAAACCAACCGAATCAATTTGATTTCTTCTTAACAGCTTTTAGCTTCACTCGGATGCATTAAAAACTCCCGTGAGAAAGTCCGAACAGACACCAGGAACGACAAACACAGTGATCTAAAACACAATTAAGACTCATCTGGAGCAGAAGCCTGACCTCAACATACTGGACTTCACACACACATGACGAAACACGCTTTTTTACTTCAATTAACAGCACATAAACGCAAAAACAGAACTATGTACACTGCCGTAAGATTGGGGTTGATAAGATTTTTTGAAAAGTCTCTTGTTCACCAAGGCTGCATTTATTTAATCAAAGATAAAAACTAATCAGTACAGAAAAAAACGGTAATATTGCGAAATAATAATATTTAAATAACTGTAATATTCTATACAATATGCACCATTTTTGTAAACATTATCATATGTTAAACTGTAATTTATTTCTGTGATGCGCAGCTGAATTTTCAGCATCATTCCTCCAGTCTTCAGTGTCACATGATCTTCAGAAATCAGTATAATATGCTGATCTGCTGCTCGAGAGACATTTCTGATTATTATCAGTGTTGCAAACAGCTGTGCTGCTTCATATTTTTGTGGAAACTGTGATACATTTTTTTCCACAATTCGTTGATCATTTATTTTACATTTAGTCATTTAGCAGACGCTTTTATCCAAAGCGACTAACAAATAGGGACAATGGAAGCAATCAAAATCAACAAGAGAGCAATGATATACAAATGCTATATACAGTAACAAGTCTCAGTTAGCTTAACGCAGTACACATTGCAAGGTATTTTTTGTTGTTGTTGTTGTTGTTTTTAATTATATAATAAATAAAAAGAAAACGGATAGAATAGAAAAAGAACCGCCAGGGGTCACTCTATACCTAAAAGTGCCAGCGAGTAAATTGTACCCACGCACATGACAGCTGTTTTTTGAATGGCTAAAGAACATATTATTTCACTGTATTATGCTACTGTTTTCACGAAGAAGTGTCTAGAGTCATGAAATGATTATGTCTAGTCATCAACTATATTTTTGTCCTGTTGTTTTATGTTCAAGTCTTTTTTATGCAGGCTACACTAGTCACTTTTCATAACGGTCAATATTAAGCTAAACAAGCCTGCACTGACAACGAGAATTAGAAGGAAGTAAATACATATTTGGGTGGTCTAATAGGCTATTATAAAACAATGTCATTAATCAATATATTAAGACAACCTATGTTATTTAAATGACTAAAATAGCTATAGACAATAATGAGCAATAATAGGCCTAATTCACCACATTGCATAGGATGACGCGATGACAAATTCAAGCGCACAGCTTCACCTAATTAATTATTAATTTGTTTAGTTATATCATTTATAATTTGAATTATACAAGAAGAACACCAATAAACTTCGGGTAATCAAAAAAAACAAAGGTTTTATTCATTACATCAGATCTGATTTTTTTTTTTTTCTTCAGGAAACAGACAGACTAGAATAAATGTCAACACTGAAGCGCACAATAAACGACAGAAATGGCAAAACAAAAATTAAATAATTCATCCAAATTTTGAACAATTATGAGTAACATTAGGATAAAACGTCTAAATATGATATATTGATCGCCGTCAGATGCTGAGCTGACAGGACGCTTTACTTATCTCCCCACCATCAGACTCTCCATCGCTCATGGCGTTTAGTGCTTCTTATACCTCTTCAGCATTCATAAATCGCCTTCTTTTACTCATTTTGTCTTTATTTATTAAACTGATAACAGCAAATTTAGTGAGTGAAAGGTGTTGCCAAGCAATGTACTATGTTAAAACATAAGCGGCATGAAAATGATAGTGCGAACATACAGGCATTATATAGCGGGTACATTTGACCCGCGCTGGCGCTTATAGGTATAAATGCCACGTTTTTTGATCTGGTTTTATCTAAACAGTTTTTAACAACAGGGGATTGTAAATCACACAATTTTAGTAAAAGTCAGTGACTGGGAGACTTGAATGTTTCATTAAAAATCTTTTATGTAAGTTTTAAAAACTTAAAAACAGGGTAAAATTTACCCTGTGGCAGTTCTAGTGTTAAAGAAAACAAGCAGTTAGTAAATGAATAGAGTGCAAGTCTAAAAGGGACAAGTTTTTTTTTTAAGAATAAAATTAGAAAAGAGAGTGCTAGAGTTAGAGGGACACATTTTTTAAAGAAAACAAGCAGTTGGTAAATGAATGGAGTGCAAGTCTAAAAGGGGCAAGTTGTTTTTAAAGAATAGAATTAGAATAGAGAGTGCTAGTGTTAGAGGGTCAAAAAAAGATGGAAGAGATGTGTTTTTAGCCGATTCTTGAAGATGAGCTGCTCGGATTGAGTTGGGCAGGTCATTCCACGAGGAGAGAACATTTCATTTAAAAGGACGTGAAAGTGATTTTGTGCCTCTTTGGGATAGCACAATAAAGCGATGTTCACTTGTAGAACGCAAGCTTCTAGAGGGCACATAACTCTGAAGTAATGAATTTAGGTAAAGGGGTGCAGAGCCAGTGGTGGTTTTGTAGGCAAACATTAATGCCTTGAATTTTATGCGAGCAGCTACTGGTAGCCAGTGCAAATTGATGAACAGAGGTGTGACGTGCATTCTTTTTGGCTCGCTAAAAATTAATCTTGTTGCTGCGTTCTGGATTAATTGTAAAGGTTTGATAGAAGTGGCTGGAAGACCTGCCAAGTGCCAAGAGAACATTGCAATAGTCCAGCTTGGATAAAACAAGAGCTTGAACAAGGAGTGAAGCATGTTCCGAAAGAAAGGGCC